TCTTTTGTTATAAATTAATATGGTGGGTATATATGGAACACAAAAAAATGGATATATAAGAAGCATTTTATAAGTGATTATTTAAATAAAAGGTGGTTTCAGCATATGATCATTACTTCTAAAATCATAATTATGTCTAGCGTCCACCATATGCTTTTCACGGTCCAATCTAATTGCATGGCAACTTGACCATAAAATAATATATGAGAGATTAAAGAATTTTGCATTATAAAATACTAATGGTGATTTATTACTTATATATTGTTGATGAATGTATAATTAATAGTTGGTGATAATAAGAATCATAAATTAAATAAAATAATTATATTATCACATAAAGAGTATATGTGTGATAAAATCAAGAAGCATAAAGAAGCAATGGACTCGCATGTGCCGTAGAAGGCTCCCTTCTCTATTCCCTGAGGACAAGTCTTTCAATGCCTAGCTGTTCGAGTTGAACATTGTAGGATACAACAATATTGACGGTGAAAGGTCACACACGTACAAAAAAACACCTAAAATGCAGAGTGTATTTGATATTATGATCACAGCCGTTAGTTTTAGGTTCTCCCGTCAAGAACAGTGGTTCGAGATTAGATATATTGATAAATAATTTTTATTTTATAATAAATTAAATTTAAAATTTAAATCATCAGTTCAACACCTAAAAAAATTATTTTTTAAAAATTAAAGATGTCCAAAAATTAATATGAGACACTCTATACCTCAAGACTTGGAATAGATATTACGGCACTCCCTAATTCCTTTTCCTTCATTTATTTCTTAATTAATTGGCCTAGCTAACGCAGGGGGAGAGGCTCTATGAATTCGAGCTATAATACATTGTGTGCGTTGTCAGAGGAAATTAAATCCACGTGGGAATGTGACATATTGAGAGAGAGATATATCGTACATGTGTAAGTATATACACCGGTTAAACAACTTGCAATTAAGTCCTCTAACTATGCACACTTACTTATCAGTCCCTATAAATGGGCTTATCAATATTGAAAAGATCTATGCTTGTATACATAAATGGCTAAGAATTGGGATGGTCCCTGTGCATTCAGGGCACTGTCGCCGGCCTCTCATGCAGCATTGGGGTACCTTCTCTTCTTTCTTTTTATGTCCTTTTCTCTTCTCTAAGGATAGCTGAATTAGTAGAAAACTTGTAATACAATTGATGCTTGTCTACCATATATGAGATTCTATTTTTTTTCCCTCTTAATTTGTATGATTGGGGCATTCTCAATCCTCCTTATTAGACTTGGCAAACGGGCGGTTTGGGTCGGGTTAGAACAGGTAACATGTCAAAATGGGTTGGGTTAAAATGGGTCACGAGTCAATGAAGACAAATCCTAACTCGCTCATCACGGGTCACGAGAGTTGACTCAGTTAAATTTTTTTTCTTTTTTTTTTTCTATAATTTGTACCTATTATCATTTAAAGAAAATTATTCAAAAGATTTCAAAAAAAAATTCAACATCTTCTAAAAAGAATTTTTTTTCCCATTAATTTAATGTATACATATTTATAGTTTTTTTAGAATTATCTTCTCCACTTCCCTTCAAAGAACAATGTTAATCAAATTCAAAAACGCCACACACTTATAAATCTTAATAGCAAAAAAAAAACAAAAACAAAAACAGTAATAGCATAACAACCAAAAAACACAAACCCCATTGGAACATATTTGTTCCAGTTGTTGCTTTCAAAGAATCAATCAATTGAATGTATCTAAGTAAAGGACAAGATCAAGTAAAATTTTTATTTGGAATAGAGAGAAAACTAAAAAGCATAAATAAGTAAATAACTTACCTTGAAGGCTTTAGAGAGAAAATTAGTGACAAAGAGAGCATTTGTCAAACTCAAAGGAGAAAGAAAGAAAGGGCTAAGTGGACGCGATAGTAACTTCGTGACACTAAAATCTAAGTCGAAGATAATGTTAAAGACTAAAGAGAAAAGGTGGAGTCGAAATTTGAAAGTCAAAGGCTATATGGACTATGGAGGTTGAAGAATATGAAAAGAGTTTGAACTTTGAAGAATTTGAGTCTTAGAGAGTATTAGGACAAGTAAGAATAAGAAAGGTCAGGAGAAAAGTCATAAGTGAAGTGGGATTATTTTTATTTTTAAAAGATGATGAGTTAAGAGAATCAATTAACTAATTAGGAAAAATTAGTCAATTATTAGAGGTTTAGGTGGAATTGAAAATTGAAAACAAAATAAATAAATCATAAATTAAAAATTTTTAAATTTTTAAATGGGTAAACAGGTTAAACCCGTTAACCTAGTGAGTCAACCCATTATTGACTTGTGACCCATCGGGTTCTCTTAATGGGTCGCGGGTCATAAATATATGACCATAACCATTTTAAACTAGCGGGTAATGGACAGCTTAACGGGTTCGGTAAAAAATTGCCAAGTCTACTCCTTATCATGATATCCCCACATACCTAAAGTTAAATAAGTGAAATTCGAATACCATTTGAGCTTCTTTTTTTTTTTGGGGGGGGGGGGGTTGGATAAATGAACTGGTGCAATATATATGCCTCCAACAATATCGGGAAATTGCTGTCAATATTATTGCAGTCCTACTGCATAATCAAAACCAGTACAAGTTTTGTTTTATTGGAGAAATCAAGGATAAATGTGCAAAAAAAGATATCAACTTTACAATTTTTTCTATTTAAAATTGTTAATTTTATTAATTT